AGAACACTATATACATAATAAATGAATAAAATATTTTTAAAAAAATAAATAAGGAAGTGAGGGGTGGGACAGGGAGCTCAGGGGATCTGATACCTATTTTTGGCCTCCCCAGGTCTCCCCCCCCATACACAAACATAAAAATTCATTTTTTATTTTTGGTCTGACTTGGTATGCCTGGGACATACCAAACAAGCCCTTTCTGTTTGTTTATTTGTTTTCAAGACAACGTTTCTCTGAGTACCCCTGGCTGTCCTGGAACCTGCTCTGTAGACCGCACTGGCCTTGAACTCACAGATTGCCTGCCTCTGCCTCTTGAGTGCTGGGATTACAGGCATGTGCCACCACCTCCTGGCAAAAATAATAATTCTTAAAAAGAGACACAATAACAGAAACACATCTATAATTCTTTAACTTATTTCTCTTACCTGTGAAGTCTCAAGCATGCTGCCATTAGAAATTTCAACTAACACTTTAGATCAATTTCAAAAGCATGATGTAATTTTAAAATGCAAAACTGGTGAATTATAATAAAAATAATATATACCCATTTAGAAACCAATCTTTTTTTAACCACTGAGCCATCTCTCCAGTCCCTCCCCTTTTTTTTTTTAAAAAAAAGATTTATTTATTATGTATGCAGTATTCTGTCTGCATGTTATGTCTGCAGGTCAGAAAAGGGCACCAGATCTCATTATAGGTGGTTGTGAGCTACCACCATGTGCTTGGTTGCTGGGGATTGAACTCCAGACCTCTGCAAAAGTAGTCTGTGTTCTTAACCTTTAAGCCATCTCTCCAGCCCCTAAAAACTAATCTTAAAATACAGGGTTTGGGAGCTGAACGTGGCTTAGTGGTGGAATACAGGCCTAGCATGCACAGACCCTGGATTTCTAATCGCCAGCACAGAAAACAAACAAAAATACAGATTTGGGTCCACTAACAAATATTAACAAGTAGCTAGAGGACTTGAGGATTACTTACTTCCCATTTATTTTTCCAACACATAAATGAGTTTTTCCCTCCTCTTTCTTACATGTATGGGTGTGTATGTGTATGTATGTTTGCATGTGGAGACCTTGGGACAATGTCCAGAATCTTTCTCTACCACTCCCCATCTTTATTCCTTATGAGGCAGAGTCTCTCAGTCAAACCTAGGGCTTACCATATGACTAGCTAATACAACCAGCGTGCCTCAGGGACTCCCTGTCTCTGCTCAGGAAGCTGGAATCACAGTGGGCCGCCACACACATCTGGTATCTCCATGGGTTCTGGGAATCCCAAGTCCAGTCTTTCTACTTGCATGGTAAGTGCTTTGACCACTCACCATCTCCCCAGCCCATAATTGAACTTTTACTGCATGAAAAGAAATGATGAAGAGGAGTATAATTGTGAATGCCAGTAATCCCCAAACTCAGAAAGAATATTGCTACAAACTGGAGCCCACATGATTGAATATTTGGTCCCCAGTTGGTGGCATTGTTTGGGAAGAATTAGGTGTGGTCCCTTTTAGTTTTTTGAGACAGGGTTTCTTTGTGTCGTTTTGGAAACTATCCTGGCACTTGCTCTTGTAGACCAGTCTGGCCTCAAATTCACAGAAATTCACCTAACTCTTCCTCCCGAGTGACCACATCCGGCTTAGGTGTGGTCTTGTTGGAAGAATTAAGTCACTGGGGGTGAGCTTTGAGGCCCCGAATGCCCATGCCATTCTTAGCTACTGCTCCAGGACCATTCCTGCCTCCCTCCCTGCTGCTGTGCTCATGGCCACCGTCATGGACTTTGGATTCATAAACCCCAAATTGAATGCTTTCTCTTATAAAGTGATTTGGCCATAGTGTCTTATCACAGCCAAAGAAAAGCAACTATGTCATCCAGCAGATGTATTTCAAGTGTTTTCCGAGGCACTTTGTCCAAGAACAAGTTGAAGAAAAAAACAGGAAGCAGCTAAGGGTTTAAAAACACCACATCCTAGAAGCTAGAAGGTACACTATTTCCAACCAAGAGTACTACTGTTTGTCCCATAATATAAAAATGCCTGCAGTGGCATGGTAACGCAGGTGTTCAGTCAGGGAAGCTTGTCTGAGAAGAGAAGACTCTACTGGGAATATAAAGGACTATCTCAACCTCCCCAGTTAGTTTCTTAGGAATGCTGTTAGCACCCAATCTGATGACATCACCTGCTGCTATTTAATTGGACTCCTTCACTTGGTAAAGTCAGCTGTCTGCCTGGGGGTGGTGGTGGAGCTGGCTGACTTCACCAGTTGATTTCTGCTGGAGGTTTGTAAGCCCCCAACTTGATAGTGTTATCTTGTGTTTGCTCTCCCAGTCATCTCTGCTAGATGTCTGAAGTGCTCAGTCTGATGGTTGTTCTACTGATTGCTATTTAGTCTCTAACAGACAATAAACCCATTCAAAACTGAAAGTACGGCTATGGTAGACCATTCTTTGTGGACTATACAGAACAGTGTGTCGAACAGTCACTTAAATGCCTAGTTTAAAAAACATCCAGCTGTCTCTGCTTCTATGTCCAGACTTTCAGCATTCAATTCTTAGGGTTACAGGACTTTAGACCAAGGAAGGAATTTGTCTCTTCCCATCATTTTAAAAGCAAGGAAATAGCCGGGCGATGGTGGCGCATGCCTGCCTTTAATCCCAGCACTCGGGAGGCAGAGGCAGGTGGATCTCTGTGAGTTCGAGACCAGCCTGGTCTACAGAGCTAGTTCCAGGACAGCCAGGTCTACAAAGAAAAACCTTGTCTTGGGGGAAAAAAAAGACTATCTGAAGCTTTTGTCACAAACCCTTAGAAAAATGACTCTTCCCCAGAGGAATGTGCGTGACAAATATCCCGTATAGGCAACACTAGATCTTCTCAAGAGGGAGCTTACAAGGATCAGTTCTTGTAAGTTGGTAGAGAGAAGGAACACTGCTTCCCCTCCCCGGCGACTCGCCCAAGTCCTTACCTGTGCAGAGAAGTCCATCTCTGTAATAAAGTGCATATACTCTGGCACTGTGTCCAATTAATGATGAGGTCTCAAAGGCTTCATGGTCCTCCAGCTGCTTCATCCTCAAGATAGCCTTCAAGTAAACCTTCTTCCAGTGCAATGCGTCCTGAACAGAATCATCTATCTGCCAGCCCAAATTCTTACAGGCAGTCTGCCACACCTCTGTGCAGGCACTTATCACCTTATTCCACTGCTTAGAGACCAGGCAGCATGTGAGTAAAGTCTGAGGATCGAGCCATTTTAACAAATAAAAACTGAGCTCCATGGGAAGGAGTTTGAGGAAGTCCCGCTTGAGGAGGGTCTCCAGGTTATTGGAGAGGTGCCTGAGCTGGACTGCCCCACTCAGACTAATCAGATGGTCCAGAGTTTCATTTTTCTGCAAGTCCGTCAGAGAAAGAAATGTAACAGAAATGTTATCAAGCCATGTCTCAAAGTCCTTTCTCTCCATAAGGTTATGGAAATATTTACCTGTGGCACATCAAAATATTGTATTAGTTCTGTTCAAAAAGACTGGTCAAGCAAGACTGCTAATAAACGAAGTATTAAAAATTAGTGTAAAAATGCATTACAATTTTATGCTTAGTTACTTCACAGTTAATAAACTACATTGAATGTCTTCATGCACACAAAAGGAAATGCATCTAAGAAAACATTTTAACAAATCGTGATATAGTAAATATGTCAGAGGAACTTATGTCAGTGTGTGACTTGCTCCTTTTAAAGTCTAATACATGCCACATGCATTGTCCCCATAAAGATGTACAGAACATTCATAAGAATGTCTTCTACTCTGCATACAACTCGCCATCCGATCCATTACAAAATTGTTTCCTCACCAGACTCCTTACTAAATAAACTCTATTTGGGAAATAAAGTCACAAGAACAGCATCAGGATGTAACTGACACACAAAGCAAATCTATGGAGCTGTGACCTATGCATTAGTTATGCTGGGCACAACCTGATCTGCAACCCAAAATTACAAAACTAACGGCTTAGTTTTACAGAAGATGTTGAAGCAAAAAGATGTGAAGAAGAAAAATAAACATGTAGTAAGCTTTGCATTTTGGTGTGCCATCCCCCTTACAGCACTGTCTATGGACTACTAAAGGCTGTACAGTTTGCTTTTAGAAGCCTTATATAAGCTAGTCACGAGTCTCTATCATGTTCCTTAGAGAGCCATGAGGGCTCTTGCAGCCTACAAGAAAAAGCAAATTAATAATTCCCATAGTGCTAGGCATAGTGGAATATGCCTATAATACTAGCACTCAGAGGCTACCCTAAGAGGATCGTGAAGTTGGAGACCAGCCTGGGCAATATAGCAATACCACAGTTCAGATATACAAAGCCAAAAATAATCATCTGGACACTCACAGAAAACATGTGACTTCACTTTACAAATGAAACTACAGGCACAAGAAGCTAAGTTAATCACTGTGGCTCCAAAGCTAGTGAAATGGCAGAACAGAATAGAGGCCTGTGCTTTCAAGATCAGCGTAGCAGCTGGGCAGTGCTAGCACACTCCTTTAATCCCAGCAGAGGTAGGCAGATCTCTGAGTTCAAGGCCAGCCTGGTCCAAGGGGTAAATTCCAGGACAGACAGGGCTACACAGAGAAACCCTGTCTTAAAAAACCAACCAACCAATCAAACAAAAACAAACAAACAAAAAGCCTAAAACTACCCCCCCATCCACTCCCCCCCCAAAATCAAAAAGATCAGCACAGCTGCTGGCACGCCTATAATCCAGCACGCGGAAGGTGAGGTTGGGAGAAGTGAAGGTTCAAGGCTATCTTTGGCTATGTAGTTAGTTCAACCTAGCCTGAACTGTAAGAGCCACTGGAAGAGGAGGAGGAGAAAAAAACCTAAGAATCCTAACTTGGTCATAAGGTCTCCAGATAGTATGTGTATCTGATTATAGCATTTTACCTTTGAGAAAGTATCAACCTTCCAAGGCTAATTGGACAAAGGCTCAGCATCAACAGGTGTGTCAACTTATTCTTCATAATGAGGGTTAAATGTGTGTGTCCTTTAATTCCCAAACTCAGAGGCAGGCAATCTCTGTGACTCAAGGCCAGCCCCTTCTATGAAGTATGTTCTAGGACAACCAGGGCCATACAGGGAAACCTTATCTTGAAAAAAAGATAAGTAAATAAAAATAAAAATTAACATTGAGAATTAAACTAATGGAAAGAGAAAAATGCCAATAAAAATGATTTGCTCTGTACTGATAGATGTTAATATTGGGTAACAGGTTCATGGGAACTTAGTTTGATTTTTATTATGTTCAGACAGTGCCACGGCTTTTTTGGGGGGGGGGGCGGGGTTCTTCTGATTACTTATAAGATTGCTATCTGATTAAAAAAATTTAAAAGTTCAATCTGGAAGAAAATAAATTTCTTTCCTGACATGTTACCTGATTAGAGCCATACAAAGCAAGCTTTCTTCCAACTCTGCCATGGAAAGTGAGCAAAAACCAAGTTCCCAGCACCTAATTTGGCAAGACCACGTCAGACACAAAGTCATCTTAGTAGAAGCAACAGAACATTTCAATCAGTTCTCTCTAGCCTAACTGCTTGGGCTTCTGAAGACTACTCAAAGTCAGGAGTCTGGGACTAAAGGATGCACCCATTTATATGAGAGACCCAGTTCTTCATCTGCTGAAAGACGTCATCAACTCATCTCGAAAAATAAGCTTCCTGTCTGATCCCTAGCATAAACCCTCGGTAACACATCCAGAATCCTACTTTTAAGAATAACTATTCACAAGACACAGCATTTGTTTCCGTGGGCACCTGAGCTATTGAACATCACATTTTCAGTTTCTTTTTCACTGAGCCCCTGCCCGCTGAGGACAAGAATGACAGGTGTGTGCCACAAAGCCTGTCTAAAATCATTTTATTGTTCAGAGGATAATACTAAAACTCATCAACTTTTACTTTTCTAAAAGAACCAACTAATTTTGGAGGGACTTTCTTAAAGCCACAGGTCTAAACTGAACTTGTTCTTAGAGCCTCTAGAAACTGGCAGCAAAGGTTCAGGGGGAAGCCTCAGGAAACGGGATCTCAACTCAACAGCATTCCTTCCAACAGTGGAATAGCCAACTTCAGAATGGTCTTTCCTATTAGTGTGGAGTCAGGACCACTGGGTACAGAAGCAAGCTGGGATAAATGAAAGAGCTAGACCGACCAGTCAATTTTTTTTTAGCTGATTCAACCACTTCTTTTGTGATCATGGGAATACTCAACTAATGTCTAAGCTTCCATTTGTAAAACAAGCTGTCCCAACTTCAGCAGTGTGAGAATCAGAAGTGAGGTAAGACATGTCCAGTCCTATAAATGCCTGGCAGGATGCCTTTGAGTAGTGCTGAGGCTGTAATGGACAGGACCTACTAGCATAACATCATTTTCAGTCCTATAGTCTCATCACAGGTTTCTTCATACCTTGAAGAAAAACTCAAGCACTTGAGCTTCGCAGGCATCTAATTCCATAAAGAAAGGCAGTTACTGACTTGAGGTGCTGCTTCCTAGGTGCTCGCTTCTCTCTACACATGCCCCTCACTATCTTGCTCCTCTCACCCTTCTCAATGCAAACATCTGACTTGTTCTCCAGCCGGTAACAGAAACAATCACAAAGCTCTGAAAATGTATAGTATCAGAAAGCATTCCTAAATTGGGAGATGGGAGCCTGGGTTTGGTGTATGTTGGCCTTAAGGGCTAAAGCAGTGCCTGTGAATACCACATTTGATTTTTTTTTTTAGCATGGATCCTTTAAAATGTAAGTACTACTGCCCTTATTAGCAAAGACTATGGCCCAAGAGGTAGAGAGGCTCTCCCAGAGATACATAGGAAGCAGCAGCTCAATGTTACCCAGTCTCCACCCTCCATTTTACAGGCAAACCATTGTGGGTGGAAAGTTTGAATATGTTTTCCCTCCATCTGCTCTGCCATAACCTGTGCAGGTAAAGAGTAAAAGAGAAGTAAATAAGAAGACTCAGTGGGTAAAAGTGCTTGCTGCAAAGCCTAATGACCTGATAATCCCCAAAAGCCATGTGTTGGTTTGAAAGAAAATGGCTCCCAAAGGGAGGGGCACTATTAGAAGGTGTGACCTTGTTGGAGAAAGTGTGTCACTGTGGGTGCAGTCTTTAAGATCTTTTTTGCTCAAGCTTCCCTCAGTGTGACAGTCAGTTGACTTCCCGTTGCCTCCAAGATGTAGGACTCCTAGCTACTCCAGCACCACATCTGCCAGCACCCCACCATGCCCATCATAACGGACCAAATCTCTGAAACTGTAATCAAGCCCCCTCAACTAAATACTTTTATTTATAAGACTTGTTATGGTGTCTCTTCACAGCAGTAAAAAACAAAGATGCCACATAAAGTTGGAAGGAGAGAACAGACACCATAAAGTTGTTCTCTGGCCTATATTGCTCACATACGCATGCACTCAAGCACACACACAATTTTTCTTTAAAGAATAAAATGTAGATATTGTTGTTCTTCAGAAGGTTATCTCCTTGCCCCCTTTTCCTACCAAGTAACCAGTTAAGCACAGAGGCAGGCCAGGCATGGTGGTGCACAACTTTAATCACAGCACTCAAGAGACAGAGACAGGAGGATCTCTGATGCCAGCCTGGTCTACATAGTGAGTTCCAGTACAGCCAGAGCTATGCAGAGACCCTGTCTCAAGAAACTAAAAGAAAAAAAAAAAGAATCATGTTTTGAAAATGTGTGCATATTTTGTGAATATTCAGGAAACTGATTAAACAGATTACTTCCAGGGAGAACTAGGAAGACAAGGAATAGGGATGAGATCCCTTTTAACCACACATCATTATAGTTCACCAAATGGATACACTATTTTTAAATTCTTCTCCTCTCGCTGCTTGTGGGATTTAGAAAACTGTTTTTATTTTCTTGTTTGTTTTTTGAGACAGGCTTTTGAAATGCAGCCTAGGCTGTTCTCCAGTTCACAATTCCCATGCCTCAGCTGCCTGACTGCTGGGACTAGTGGAGTCACAGCCGCTTTGAAAAACTTCAAATAATGTTTATAAAACATGAGTTCTGAAATCTCACTTGTTGGGTAACCATGGACCAATCATCTCATGTATTTCAAGCACATTTCCTCACTTGTAAACTGTAGCCTGGTACTGCTTTACCTACAAGAGTTTGTGAGGATTAAATAGATTAAAGCGTTCTGCGCGTATCTGGCACATTATAAGCCTTCAATAAATGCAGTCACTGTTACTAAATAACTGTATGAATAGTTATTTCGGCCTTTTTTAAAAAAGTAGCATCCCAAATACACACCTGTTTTCAAAGCATACCCACAAGCACGGTGCCTTCCTACACGCTCTACAACGTTCTGTATTTTACAAACCACCTGTCCACACTTCATCTTTCATCAAACTGGTAGCCTTGGGGCATCAGCGTTAACTCATTTCGCAGCTAGAGAAACCGAGGCACCAGAAGGCAGGAACTTAGATTTAATTTTCCTGTCTTTAAAATGAACTCCGAATCCCCTCAGCCCGCTCGTGGCTCCCTCGGTCCCTTGCTCCCGGAGCCGTGTTCCGCGCGGCACTGACCTGAGCGAGCGCCCCGGGGCCCGGGACCTCGCGCCGGGCTCACACCGACTAGGCGCGCTCGGGCCACCAGAGCGTCGCAGCGGCCGGGTCCGCTCCGCAGCCATGGCGCCTGCGGGGAGAGGGAGAAGACAGGCCGAGGCAGCGGGTCAGCAACGCCGCCGGCGTCCAGGATCCCTGCCCAGCCCGGCCCGGCCCATAGCGAACACAGACCTGGACCTGCGGCCGCTGCTCCAGGTCCGCAGCCTCACAGGGGAGCGGCTTCCGGTGCTGCTTGCGTCATCTCCGCGCGTCCCTCCGGCACCCAGCGCCAGCGCCTGGCGGAAGCGCCGGTACTTCCGTCCGCTGCCCACCGGGAAGGTGGAGAAGAATGGCCGGGGCTGGGGAGAGGGGCGGGTACAGCCGGTACCACCTGTCTGCGCTTACACCTAGTGATCCTGGACTAAAGCTTCGTTTCAAGGCGACTTTCCAGATTTGTAGGGAGTGCTTATGTTCCTCATCGACCCTTGTTTTTCACCGCGGAGAGGGGGCTCAGGCTCCCAATTGAGATGTATCTAAATTCAAACAACCCATTAACACTTGATACATCCCAAACATGGTTCTGGCACAGATGAACAAATACCTATCGGCGCGAGGTCTACATCTAGTCGTGGGAGAAAGACAGCATAAACTACTAGGCAAACTGCGGAAAGAGGCAAAGGCTGTGGAAACGAAACACTAAGCACTCTGCTCAAACTGTGATTACTCAACCACAGAGATGGCCATTCTTTGTAACACTTAAGTTACTTTGTGAGAGTCAAAGTTACATTTTAAGTTTTAATTACTATGCCTTAGGGATCCATGAAACAAAAATTCCTCTGATCTGCAAGCCCTTTGCCCAAGGACAGATAGTTCCTGAAATGCTGGAGGCTGCTGTTTCTGGGAGATAAGGAGCCACGCTTTCACTCCCCTAAACAAACAAGTTTGTTGGACCCATCTGCACCAGCTGTGCTCGGTCACACGTGAGCAGGAGGTACATAGGCAGGAAATACGACAGGATGTATGCTTGCCCCTGATTGGACCTAATGGGAAATGCAACGAATTATGGGTTTTCCTTCTTAAACCTTTGTAAAACTTGATTCTGGGCAATAGTGTTTTATTCTCTATTGGCGGGATTAACAATTTATCAGCTGGCTCAAATCCTTTTGCTTTCTCCAACTAGAAGTCATTCTAAGGAGAAGCTCTCCCAATGCTGCAGTGTGAGAGTTTTTTGTTCTTGTTGGGTTTTGTTTTTGTTTTTGAGACAGGGTTTCTCTGTGAATCTGGCTGTCCTGGAACTCCCCCTGTAGACCAAGCTATCCTTGAACTAAGACCTGCCTGCCTCTGCCTCCTAAGGGCTGGGATTAAAGGGGTGCTACCACTGCCTGGATTTTTTATGAAAGCTTTTGTTTCCCTTGCTGTTTAGCAACATGGAGACAGGAACAAGAGCAGGATGACCACGAGGAGGGGTGATCAACAATTTTTACACATGAAGGGCTCCAGTAGGCCTGGGCATGGCGAACATGACTCTGGCAGGCCCTGTCCTTTCCCTATTTCCTGTGCCTTGCTACACTGCTAGGTCATATTCCTAAAGCTAGCCACCAAGGTATTCCCTTATTTGGCCACTTTCTCCTCCCGAGGCTGACTACCAAGGTCTAGCTATCACAGTATTAAAGTCCAGCAATAAAAAGTCCTGTTTTGGCTACCCTAATTAATATGTCCAATCGAAACAAATCAACTCCTCCTAACATGGGGTGTTCCTTTATAAACTGCCATTTGCTTACTAGCCACTCCTGTCCCCTCTATCCAGAGGCAGGCCTTTCTCCCTCCAGGGCAAATATCTCCCCCCACTCTGTTCCCTTCCCCTTGTCCCTCATCTTCTATCTCCTGTCTTTGTTTCTTATCCCCTGCCCTTTGTCCCTCTGGAGCAAATAAATTTCCCTTATGCTGAGAATTTGATCTTGGGATACCTCGTCCCAGACCTTCAAACACAGGCCTTGAATATCTGGACCTGTAACTCTTGTGTGGATCCAGGAAGTGGTAATTCCTTCTCCCTTAACACCTGACAGTGTTGTAGCTCTTTTGGCCCACGGTGCCTGAGAACCTTAGCTTTAAAGACTTGACAGCCAAATTGGGGTAGTGGCCCATGTGCATAATCCCAGCACTTGAGAGGCAGGAGCAGGAGAATCAGGAGTTCCAAGTCTACGTGGGGGTGGGGTAGAGATGGCAAACAGCACCTGCAGTTCCTTCCTTCTCAGTTAATACAAATGCCTCTCCTTCCACTCTGAAAGGACAAAGAGGGGAAGTGGGAATGTTTTGGCAGGCCCTGCCAAGGTATGCCACTAAGCAAACACCAGGAGCCAGAGTTAGTGAGAGAGTTTATTGTGGGAGGGGGAGGGTGAAAGTCTGTATCGAGTGGGGACACGAGAGAGGCAGACAGAGAGACTAGAGGAAGAGGCAGGACGGGAGCGACAGGGGTAAGAGAGGAAAGAAGAGCAAAGAGAGAGGAATAAGACAAGAGACAGAGGGCTGTGCTAGTGGCACATCTGAAGGGTGTGCATGTCACCTAGCTGACGATGGAACGTTCCTAGTCACAGATGATGAAGCAAGTGCTTTGGCAGCCGAGGCAGGCGGCTGCTCTGGCAGAAGCTGAAAAGTTCTCTGCCCTCTCTTGCCAACTGTTCCTTGTGTCCTTTCTCCTTTCCTGATCACTCTGAAATGCCTCTGCTGCTGCTCCTTCAGCTGTCAAGCAGCTTGCCGCTTTTTAGGTTTTAACACGTGCTGATGGTGGTAAGCCTGAAATTCACAAGAGAAAAACCAGTTTCTCAATTTTGAGTCAGATTTGAAGCAAGCTTTAATACTGGCCAGAATGTTGGACTCTGGTCAGGTCCATTCTAGGTTCCCATGGCCACAAGTCACTTTTTGCAAGTCTTAAAAAGGCAAAAAGCCCCACAAGGCCACTGTATTTCCCATTAGGTCCAATCAGGGGCAAGCATATATCCTACCATATTTTCTACCTACATACCTCCTGCCCACATCCACTGAAGCTCATCAGATGCAAACAGATGTGTTTAGGGGAGTGAAAACATGGCTTGTTAATTCCCAAGAACCACAGTGCACAGCATTCCAGGAAGCTACAAAGGCTTGGGCAAGTGGGATTTACAGGTTAACTTTGGCTCTTAAAACATCTAGACTCACCAGGTGGTGGTGGTGCACACCTTTAACCCCAGCACTCGGGTGGCAGAGGCAGATGGATCTCAGTGAGTTTGAGGCCAGCCAGGATAGGCTCCAAAACTACACAGAGAAATCCTGTCTCAAAAAAATGAAAGGAAAAAAAAAACAACTTACATCAACGAAAACCAAACCAGTAGGCTCTTGCTACCATGGCTGGTTTTCCTGCCTCCATCATCGTCCCTTCTCTGCATCTTTTCCGCTGTTTCCAGCTCAGCCCACACTACTGAAAGTTGGTGAGATCACTGGTGAGAAGAGCCTTTTACTAGGCTTAATGTTGCAACATGCGGGTAGAGGGCATAGAGACTGTCTCTTGGAAGAGAGAGAGAGAGAGAGAGAGAGAGAGAGAGAGAGAGAGAGAGAGAGAGAGAGAGAGAGGTCTGTATCAGGCACAGTTATGGAAGTTTGTGTTTGGGCCAATTATAGCCTTTTCCTTTAAGACCAGTCACTGCAGTCAGAGGAGCTTCTAGGCCACCAGAAGTGTTCCTCACCTGGTGTAGGTAGAAATGGTTACAGGGTCATCTAAGTCCACGAATACTTGTGATAGCCAAAAGTCTGTGTTAAGTATTTTTCCTTGGACGACAAACCTTTTCACCGACACAATAATCCAAATCAAACCAGATCAGACCGAACTAGAAGAGAGCCCAGATTTAATGGATGGCAGCTCTCCTCGGTGTCCCACCCCCTTCCGGGGAAAACATGGAGAGGGGAACAGACGATGGAAAACCAAGAGACCACGTGTTCATTCTCTGGGGGGCAGTTTAAATAGCCTGTGGGAGTGGTCTTGACCCTCCTGGAGGAGGGGTTACCTTTTGGCGGAGTTTGGACTGAGGCAACTCCCAGGGGAGGGAGCTTTGAAATGGAACTTTCCACCCAACATTTCAAGATGGATGCCAGGGGGTTGGGGTGAAGCCCCCAACTAAACAGTCTGGTACAAACTGCTTCATACTATAATGGTAAAAGTAAAATGCTGTGGATTCCCAGCGGCTATAGCAGCAAAAATATTGCAGGTCCAGGCAAACAGCAGTCCCGAGAGCAGCCAGTCCCAGGCAGGGATGGTGCAGTTTCCCGAGTGGCTGCAGCCGGCCACAAGGAGACACAAACAGATGGGCATGCCATGAGACCATGCCACAGGTCTCTGAAGGCAGCTGGTCCTGGGCAGGGAGCCACACAGCTGGCAAGAGACAGAGACATGGATAGGCACACCATGCAGAGTGAGATTGGATATTTATTTAGTGGGTTATGGAAGGGAAGGAGAGAGAAGGAGAAGAGGGAGAGAGAGAGAGAGAGAGAGAGAGAGAGAGAGAGAGAGAGAGAAATAAAAGGGGGGAAGGAGGCTGCCTCTTCAGGAGAGAGACTCTTGAATTCTTGGCAGATTCTCAAGACTGCTTCCTACTTATTTGTGGACATCATCATGGCGGTGGGGAGGGGAACCTGAGAAGGCTGGGTGCTGGTCACATCCTGGCAAAGCTGGTCTCTTTGTTTCTGTCTGGTGTTTGTGGTATGGAAATGTCTGGTGTCTCTTACACCTATTTAAGGTATTGGCAGAACAGAGGACAAAGTTAAGAAAAAAAAACCTTTTAGGATCTGCCGCTCCAATTCCTTTCACCTGTGTTCCTAGCCTCCTGTCTCTATTATAAAAAAGAGATGGGAATGTAGTGATCGGTCCTGTCTCTTTAAGAGACAAGCCCTGCCTATTCCCTCCCCTGTCCACTGAGGCAGGCAGATCTTCCTTCCTGCTTGCAGCCTGAGTCTCTTCCTTTTCCATCTCTCCCCGAAGAGGCAGCTTCTACCTCTCTTCATTCTCCCCATTTCTCCCCTTCATCCCTTCTCTTCCTATCTCTCTTTCTCCACTTCTCCTTCTCCCCCTTCCCTTCTATAACCCACTAAATAAATATCTAACCTCACTCTGCATGGCATGCCTAGCCACATCTCTGTCTCTTGCCTGCCGCATGGCTCCTTGCCCAGGAGCAGCCACCTTTGGAGACCTGCGGTGTGGTCTCATGGAGTGTCCATCTGTCTGTCTCTCCTCGTGGTCTGCTGCAGCCACTTGGGATCTGCAGCATTTTTATTAATCCATTTCATTGGTGCTGTGACTTGCCTATGTCTCTCGCTGCCTAGGATCAGCCACCTTTGGAGACCTGCGGTGTGGTCTC